CGGAGGCCAAGTGTACTACGCGAGCCTGGCAGCGCTGCTGTAACTCGCGCAGGAGGACGTACCGCAGCTGGATATGCTTCGCTCTGCCCTCGAGTCGAGGCTCCTGACACAGGAGGATCATGGCCCTGTTGTCAGCGTACAGGACCGGGGCAGAGCTAGGCTGCTCACCTAAGTCAGTGAGCAAGAAGGTCAGCCAGCGGAGCTCCTGTGCCGCCATGGCACCAGCGTAGATCTCGGCCTCACAGCTGGACTGGGCAACAGACGAGGAGCGGGTAGCTCTCCACGAGACGACACCTGAACCAAGGCTGAAGCAGTAGCCCTGGGAAGACCTGAGTGTCTCGGCGTCGTCTGCCCAAAAAGCGTCTGTGTGTCCAGTAAGGACCACTGGCCTGCGTCCTCCTAGCACTAACCCCATGCCCGATGTCCTTGCGAGAAAACGCAGAACCCTCTTAGCGGCAGACGAGTGCTGCGGTCAGTGTCTGCCTGTGGCCACAAAGCGAGCCAGGATGCTGACAGGGTATGCGAGATCTGGGCGAGTGCAAGTCATCAGGGACATGAGGCAACCCACCAGCTCTGCGTAAGGACCACTGGGCTCTATTGACTCCTCAGGAACTGGAGCGGAGAGTCTGTGGTCTACAGGAAGAGGGGTGGGCTGTGCGGAGGAGAACTGAAGGCCGAACCTCTGAAGGACCTGGCGCACCAAGTGTGACTGAGTCAAGGTGATGGTGCGCGCTGCTCTGTCCCTGGAGATCTGCAAGCCAAGGTAGTGGCGCAGTTCTCCAAGGTCAGTGCAAGTGTGTCTCTTCAGCAGCTCTGCCTTCACGGAGGCCAGTGCGTCCCTGTCTTCTGTGGCAAACACCAGATCGTCCACGTAAACAAGGATGTAGAACGGAGTCTGGCCAGCACGAACGAAGAGTGAAGGGGTCTGCGGAAGACGGAAAGAACTGCAGGTCAGCAAGCGTAGCACGCAGCATGTCGTGCCACTCACGGGGAGCCTGCCGCAGGCCGTAGACGGGACTCCGCAGGAGCCACTGGGTCCCAGGAGGGAAGGTGCCAGTAAAGCCCTGAGGGCGACGCAGGTAGACCTGCTCATGTAGGCTGCCCTGAAGGAAGGCTGTGGAGAAGTCGAGGGAGTGAAGCTCGTAGTCACACTGAGCAGCTACGTGTAACAGAACCCGAAGAGTAGTCATCTTCGGGGTCGGAGCGAAGGTCTGGAAGAAGTCCACCCCCTCACGCTGACTGAAACCTCTAGCCACGTAGCGTGCCTTGAACACAGGCAGCTCTCCAGGAGGGCGCTTCACCTTGAAGAGCCAGCGGCCATCGACTACGTTCACCCCAGGCGGGGGAACTGCGTCGACGAAGGCGCCGGTGGATCTCCAAGATGCCATCTCCTGCTCCATGGCAGCTATCCACTGCGAGGCCCAGGGTCCCGAGGTCGCCTCTGCGTAAGTGCGAGGGGTCGGGATGTCGAAAGCGTCTGGGTCACCCTCAGGGACTAGCAGCATGGAACAGAGATGGGGAGCAGCCTCGGAGAGGAAAGCAAGCTCGAACTGGCGGTCCTCCAGGACGTCACTGCCGAGGGCAGGAGCACCCCCGACAGACGGAGGAGAGGCAAGGTCAGAGACCAGAGCGGTGGCGTAGTCAAGGCGGCGGGTAGAGGGGAAGTCAGCGACCGCAGCGACAAGAGCGTCAAGACACGAGACCGGAACTGACGGGTCGGTAACGAGAGAGGCGAGGACCCGAGGAACAAGAGGACGAGCGGCACGAAGGTAGTGAGATAGAGGAGGAGGCGCAACGGTAAGAGAGGATGGAGGAGGCGACGGTAGAAGGGGAGGACGAGACGCGTGGGAACGGAGCAACATAGGGTGAGAGCGCGGGACAGGGGAGACAGGACAAGCGCGGGAGGGATGGCGGGACCAGACGTGAGACGGAGGCATCGGGTTAGGAGACAGAGGAGGGGACGCAAGGGGGGAGCGAGGGGGAAGACGATCCGGGGACGAGTCCGGCGGAGGGAACACAGGGCCGTAGATAGGAAGAGGAGGAGATGGCAGGAGAGGAACGGACGCAGGGTCAGAGGACGGAAGGCCGAGCAGGCGAAGGGCGGACATCGGCGGGGACTGCTGCTTCGGCGGCACAACACCAACACCGGGACCGCAAGCTGCTCCTCGGCTACCTCCGGGACACTCCACTCCGGCACCCCCAGAAGGAACACCCCCAGAGCCCAAAACCCCGCGAGCACCAGTACCACCCCCAGGGCCACCGGAGCAGGCCACAACAGAAACCCCAGAACGAGCACCCACCCCAACGCGGGCACCCCCAGAGTCGACGAACTGCTGCTGCGACGGCGGGAACGACGGGTGCGGCGGCGGCGGGAGCGGGGACGACGGCTGCGACAGCAGGGGCGACGGCGGCTGCAGAGGCTGTGGGGGAGGAGACACCAGGGGAGGGGCAGACGGCGAGGACTACGCCGCAGGACCACTAGAGTCAGCAGACTCCTCAACCGAGACAACCGACGGGAGAGGGGTGACGTGGGACACACCAGAGGGGGCAGGACGGGGAGGGGGAGGGGGGGGGCAGGGACCACCGGGGAAGGAGTGACCAGGAACAGGGGGGGAGTAACCGGGGGTCCGCGGTGGGGGAAGCGACGGTAGAAGGAGACGGACTCGTCAAAGGTGACGTCGCGAGAGTGAAAGAACCGGTGAGACGGCGGGTGGTAGAAGTGCCAGTCGGACGCGTCAAGGGGGAAACCTAGGAAGACGCAGGGAAGGGTGCGGGCAGTGAGCTTGTCCGTGCCAGAGGCACGAACGTGAGCAAGGCAGCCCCAGACGTGGAACGCAGACGCGTCACCAGGAGACCCGGTCCAAAGAAGGGTCGGCGAAACCTGCGGCTGCTGGGGGTGCGGCCACAGGTTAAGCTGGTGAGCAGCGTAGCGCACGGCGAACGGCCACATAAAATGGGGTGCACCGGCATGGATCATGGAGGTGCGAGCCACCTCCATGACCAGACCGATGCGTCGCTCAGCGACCCCATTCTGCTGTGGGGAGTCCGGCAGGGTGAACGTCTGGGTGATGCCCTTCGCACGATAGAAGTGACCAAGGAAACCTGAGGCAAACTCGCCACCACGGTCGGAGTGAAGACGCAGGACAGGGAGACCAACTAGGTTCCTGGAGAACGAGGGAATATGCAGACCTGTGAGAGAGCCTGAAGAAATCGTCGGACAGGGAAGGGTGGTGGAATTGCGAGCAACTACGGGACCGCCGGAGGGGTCAGCAAGAGAAACTGCAGCAGGAACAGGAAGCGGCGTCAGCGTAGTAGAGTTACAGAAGAAACACCAGGAAGCGCCAGAGTCCAAGGTGAAGGAAAGCGAAGCAGTGGCGTCTGGCGACGGGGCGACGGCGGAAGCACCAAGGCTAAACAAAGCAGAAGCTCCTACGCCTGACGCAACAGGGGAGGCTAAGCTAGGCACACCTACACTAGGCGACAAGGAGTAATAAGAGGGGAGCACACTAGAGTCATCAGCATACATCACATGCAGGGCAGAAACAATGGCATCCATGTCCATGTCAAAAATCTGAACTCTAGGACTAAGCAAACTGTGCCAGTCCGAGAGGTCGGGCGACGGGCCGAAACGCTGACGAAACAGGTCGTCCAGGCGACGAAAACAGCGGGCAGTGGTGTGACCGATCTTACGCAAACAAAGCTGCGGCGAGGACCGGTCTGGATCTGGTACTGACAGCGCACGCCTCCCGAACCGCCACCCGACACACCACCACGCGCACGACCACCACCAGCGCCAGGCCACCCGGGTGGGAGGGCACTCGCCTGCCTCGTCTGCGGCGGCTGGTGAGGCTGGTGCGGCTGGTGCGGCTGCTGCTGCGGCTGCTGGGGCGGCTGCTCAGTTGGACCTGGCAGGGTCCCCTCGTCCACTCCACCACCTGGCGACCCGACTCCACCACCACCTCCACTGGTGTTGTGTGATGTCATCATATGCTATCACATTCTGTCTGCCTCCCATCTCTTGTTTCAACTTGCATGTGTGGTTTGAACGTGTGCAAGAATTTGTGTGTGATGTGTTCTGGAGTTTGGGAATGTGTTTTGTGTTATTTTTGTTTGAGCAGGTATTTGTGATGATAGATCTTGAGAAGATCTTTCCGACGCAACAAGAATCGCTTCAATCGGAGCAAGAACGCGAAAGCTATGAAGATTCAAAGTTCATGAGCTTGCGTTACAATTGCGGCGGTTACTAAGTGAAGTTGTGGGGTGACTTTATATGGAGTTGGGACCTTTGGGGTTGGGGAAACTTGTCACTCTACTGTAACAGCTGCAAATAGGTTGGGAACAACCAAGCTAGGTTGGCAAGGGTGGCCAACTTGGATGGATTGGTTGGGAAGGGACAAAGGTCAAAGTTGAGGTTCCTATAGGGAGGGAATCTTTGTGCTTATGGGGTTTCCTTGGTTGGGGACTCTCTTGGGACCTTCCCTCTCATCCCTCTCTTCCTATCCCAACCTTTCTCTTGCTCCTTCTAATTTCCTTGTGAGATTCTTGAACTTTGATTGAACCTTTTGAGATTGAGTTAAGTTCTCCTCCTACAGCTTACCCCCTAATGCGTCGAAAGCCATAGCGTCGCGAATACTTCATCAATCAACATGATTCAAATTGGGAACGGTAGCTGAGATTAAGAGCTACAACATATCCAAGTTTCGCGACATTCCAACAGCTAGTTTTTTGTCGACGTCGTTTCTTGTGAAGACGACTTTTCTGTCCAGAATTTCGGATTTATATTTTGAGTAATTCTAGCTCCTAAGTTCACCTAGACTCCGTCCTTAATACTAACAAGTGGTATCAGAGCAATATTAAGGACATTGAGAGGAGTCTACAGAAGTTTGAAGACCCTTCTAGACCCACCATGGCCTGTGGGTGTGCCTAAGTGGTGTTCTAAAGGTTGGATGTGTCTTCCGCTAAGGGGAAACTCTGCCGAAATTTCGTGGACGCCGACACTTGTGAAAATATCGAGGGAGCTGAGTGTGGACAGCAAAGGGGAGCTGAAATTCGTCATTTTTCAAGGAGAAGATGAATGAGAGAGGAGGAGATGCTAATGGAAGAGGAGCTGTAGCTGAGAAGACAAGTGAGCCGCCGCCATCAAAAGTTGAAGCTTTGGATGGCTCCAACTATGAGGAATGGAGCGGGCGGATGAGGAGTGCCTTCAAACGCTACAAGCTCCTGAAGATTGCTGTTGGGGAGGAGAAGATGCCGGAGGAAGGCGAAGCACGCGAACGGTGGATTGAGAAAAGCGCGGTGCTTTTCGACCTCATTCTTCAATCGGTCAACAAGGAGATGTTCGAGCACATCAAGGATCTTGTGGAAGCGGATGATTCGGGTCCAAGGGCGTGGAAATTACTACGTGATGTGATTCAGCCCAACACTCTCCCAATGGTGATCGTGCTCGAGAAGGAACTTGCTGCCATCTCCATGCGACCAGGGGATGATGTGAAGCCGGTCCTTGACAAGATCAAGGACACCTATGCAAGGATGGCAGCAGCGGGCAGCAGTGTATCTCAGCTGCAGCAGTGCACCAAGATCATCTCGGTGTTGGACAACTCTTGGGACAACCTCATCCCCACCCTCAACTCTCAGCAAGATCAATGGACACCTGAGTGGCTAAGGCAGCAGATTCTGCAGGAGGACTTCCGCAGACGCCATATGGGAGGCGGTGCTGCCACGAAGACTGCTGAGGGGTATGGAGCTGCAGGGCGCGGCAAAGGAAGAGGGGGTTGGAGAGGCCGAGGCCGTGGGAGGAGCTTTGGCAGAGGTAGAGGCCGAGGTGACTATAATGAGGGGCATGGAAGCTCCAGTGGCAGGGGGAGTACCAGAATGGAGGGCACCTGCTGGTACTGCAAGAAGGTCGGGCATCCTTGGTTCAAGTGCTTCAGCAGGCCGGAGGGATGGTCACCTCCAGGCATGAAGCCGCCCAGTGGTGAACGCGCACAAGGTGGCGCTGTGCAAGGTTCAGGTGCACAAGGTGAAGGTACACAAGGTAATGCCTATCCTGGTTTGTTTCTTATGGTTGAGGATGTGCATGGGCATGAGGGTGATGTGGGATCTGTCGGAAAGGTTGTGATGCACCCTCTCACGCACTGGGTGATTGATTCGGGTTGCACCAGTCACATGACCCCACGGGCAGATTTGCTTGATGAGGTAAAACCCCCTGGGAAGATCAAGTATGTGGCAGCAGCGTCAGGTGCTTTGCTCCCTGTGATTGGCGTTGGGAATGCCAAGGTTAAGGGAGCTAATGGGGAGCTTGTGGGGCTTGGGAATGTTCTGCTAGTTGAAGGTTTGTCTGCTAACCTTCTCTCTGTGCGGCGACTGCAGAAGAGCAAGGCCGAAGTGACCTTTGGACCAACCAGCTGCCGTGCTAAGCTTGGGAAGAAGGTGCTGTGGAGTCTGGAAGAGGAGACCAGCTGCATCAAGGACCTATGGCAGCTGCCCATCATCCCTTGGAATGGGAAGACTCCAACAACAGCAACGGCAGCAGCGGCAAAGGCAACAGCAGGAGGAGATGCAACTGCACCAACTGATGGGGTCCTGGAAGCAGTCAAGAAAGTGCAGCAGCAGCAGAAACATAGTGAGGTGCTTGCTGGTGTGGATGCAAGTGCGGCATGGGCTAAGGCTTCATCAAGGAGTGGTGAGGCCGATTGGGAGACATGGCATGAGAGGCTGTGTCATGTGAACTTCCCTATGCTGCAGAAGTTGGTAAAGGATGGGAGCCTGAAAGGCTTGGAGGTGAAAGGGGGAGTGAAGGAGATTGGGAGCTGCCCTACATGCTTGGAGACCAAGTTCTCCAAGTTCCCCTTCAACAGTGCAACAGGACCAGCCAAGACCCCACTTGCACTTGTGCACATGGATGTGGTGGGGCCCACCAGAGCCCCTTCCCTCTCAGGCAGCCGCTATTTCTTGACAATTGTGGATGACCACACTCGGGCAGTGTGGGTTTACCCTTTGAAGAGCAAGGGGGAGGTGGCAGCGGCTGTCCTTAAGGAGTGGATGCCTAGAGCTCAGAGGGAATGCGGACACAAGGTGAAGGTGATCCGCAGTGATAATGGTGGGGAGTTCATTGGAGCTGATTTTGAGGGGAGTTGAAGAGGAAGGGGATCCAGCATCAACTGACAGTGCCCTACAACCCGCAGCAGAATGGCGTGGCTGAGAGGTTCAACAGGACCCTGCAGGAGGGGGCACGCACTCTCCTTGGGCGTGCAGGGCTGCCTGATCCGTTTTGGGTGTCTGCACTGAGGCAGATCGCCCTTGTGAAGAACAGGGTGCTGGCCACAGTTGGGGATAAGGAGTGGATTCCATATACTAAGTGGTATGGGAGTGCTCCAGCTGTGAACATGCTGAGGGCATTTGGGTGCATGGTGGTGTTTCATGTGCCTAAGGAGAAAAGGGGGAAGTTGGAGGCTTCTGGAAGATGGGGTGTGCACTTGGGGATTGCAAAGGATCACAAAGCGTGGCTGCTATGGGACTTGACCACCCAGAAGTTGACAGTGTCAAGGGATGTGAAGTTTCTTGAGTCCCTGTACTACAAGGAATGGAAGCAGCAGCAACAGAAGCTTCCATCTACACCGCTCATTGTGGAGGCAGATGAGGTGCAGCAGCCTTCAAGACAGGTGGAGGTTGCAGTGTCTGAGGAGGAGATGTCTGGGGTGACTGAGGAAGGGGGAGCAGCTGAAGTAGAGCAGCAGCAGCAGCAGCATGAGTCTCCACCTCGAGTTCCACACCCGCCTGAGCGTCCTAGGAGGGATGTGCGCCCTCCAGTGAGGCTGACCTATGGGGGAAGAGGCAAGTCGAATGTGGTGCAGGCTGGGAGTGTGGTTGAGCAGATTGAGGAAGATGAGATCGCTCACTGCTACTGGGCACCAATCCCTGAGCCCAAGACTCGAGAAGAGGCCTTGAATGGACCAAATGGGGAGAAGTGGAAGGCGAGTGAGGATGAGGAGTTTGGGTCCCTGATTGAGAACGAGACATGGGACCTGTGTGACTTGCCTCCTGGAAAGAAGGCAATCACTTCCAAGATGATCTACAGGCACAAGTATGGACCTGAAGGGGAGCTGACCCGCTACAAGTCCAGGCTTGTGGCAAGGGGGTTTCAGCAGACAAAAGGGAAGGACTATGATGAGGTGTTTGCTCCTGTGGGGAAAGGAACAACACTGAGGGTGCTGTTAGCGATAGCTGCACTCCTGGGATGGAAGATACGGCAGATGGACATTGTGACTGCTTTTCTGAATGGGATCATTATGGAGGAGGTGTACATGAAGCAGCCAGAGGGGCTGGATGATGGGAGCGGCAGGGTCTGCAGGCTGAAGAAGGCCATTTATGGCCTTAAGCAGGCGCCTCGTGCATGGTATCACAAGTTGGAGGAGGCGCTGTTGGCTGGGGGTTTCAAGAAGAGTGAGTGTGACCCCAGCCTGTTCCTGCTGCAGGAGAAGGATGAAATCCTCATGCTCTTGGTGTATGTGGATGATATCCTTCTCTTTTCTGCATCAACTGCTTTGCTGGACAGCGCAGAGCAGATGCTGGAGATGCAGTTCAAGTGCTCCAAGATGGGTGAGGTGAAGTACTACCTGGGGATGCATGTGGAGAGAGATGTGGAAAAGGGTGTGCTGAGGTTGCACCAGAGGAAGTACTGTGAGGGGCTGGCTGAGAAGTATGGGCTGCAAGATGGGGGAAAGCCAGCAACACCACTACCTTCAGGGTTTACTGTGGGGCCATGTGCTGATGAGGAGGTAGTGGGTAAGAGTGACAGGAAGCTGTTTCATTCGATGGTTGGGTCGCTGAATTATGCTGCAAATCATACACGGCTTGACATTGCATTTTCTACATCACGGTTGGCTAGTGTGGTCTCACGCCCTAGTCATGAGCAGCTGGAAGCGGCCAAGAGGTTGGTCCGCTATGTGAGTGATACGGCATCAGTGGGATTGGAGTACAGTGGAGTGAGGCAGCGGTTGCAGAGAGGTGCTGCAGATGTGAAGAGTGGAGAGATGCTCTTGAGTTGCTATACTGACGCTAGCTTCAACTCAGTGAAAGCGGATGGCACCAGCATTGGGGGATATGTGTGCTTGCTAGGAGGTGGTGCTGTGAGCTGGCGCAGCAAGAAGCAGAATGAGGTGGGATTGTCCTCATGTGAGACTGAGTACATGGCCTTACACCATGGGGCCAAGGAAGTAGTGTGGCTAAGGCGTTTGTTGGAGGAGTTGGGAGTTGGTCAGGAGAAGCCGACAGTTGTGTTTTGTGACAATGAGTCCGCTGTGAAGCTCGCCAAGAATGCTTGTCTGCATGGGCTGACAAAACACATAAGGCCTAAGTGGCATTGGGTGAGGAGACTCCTTGATAAGGAGGTGCGGCTGGAGATAGTGAAGACCCATCAGCAGGCAGCAGATATTTTCACTAAGCGTCTGGCGGAGGCGGATCATTGGAAGGGCATGAAGCTTGCTGGGATGAGTGTGCATTGAGTATGCATGCTTGAGATGTTGGTATGGTGGTTGATGGTTGGCAGCCAGAGGGGGAGATTGTTGTGTGATGTCATCATATGCTATCACATTCTGTCTGCCTCCCATCTCTTGTTTCAACTTGCATGTGTGGTTTGAACGTGTGCAAGAATTTGTGTGTGATGTGTTCTGGAGTTTGGGAATGTGTTTTGTGTTATTTTTGTTTGAGCAGGTATTTGTGATGATAGATCTTGAGAAGATCTTTCCGACGCAACAAGAATCGCTTCAATCGGAGCAAGAACGCGAAAGCTATGAAGATTCAAAGTTCATGAGCTTGCGTTACAATTGCGGCGGTTACTAAGTGAAGTTGTGGGGTGACTTTATATGGAGTTGGGACCTTTGGGGTTGGGGAAACTTGTCACTCTACTGTAACAGCTGCAAATAGGTTGGGAACAACCAAGCTAGGTTGGCAAGGGTGGCCAACTTGGATGGATTGGTTGGGAAGGGACAAAGGTCAAAGTTGAGGTTCCTATAGGGAGGGAATCTTTGTGCTTATGGGGTTTCCTTGGTTGGGGACTCTCTTGGGACCTTCCCTCTCATCCCTCTCTTCCTATCCCAACCTTTCTCTTGCTCCTTCTAATTTCCTTGTGAGATTCTTGAACTTTGATTGAACCTTTTGAGATTGAGTTAAGTTCTCCTCCTACAGCTTACCCCCTAATGCGTCGAAAGCCATAGCGTCGCGAATACTTCATCAATCAACATGATTCAAATTGGGAACGGTAGCTGAGATTAAGAGCTACAACATATCCAAGTTTCGCGACATTCCAACGGCTAGTTTTTCGTCGACGTCGTTTCTTGTGAAGACGACTTTTCTGTCCAGAATTTCGGATTTATATTTTGAGTAATTCTAGCTCCTAAGTTCACCTAGACTCCGTCCTTAATACTAACAACTGGCACCCCCACCACCTCCGCCGCGCCCAGCCCGGACGGAACTGCGCTGCAGCGGCGGTCTCAGCCACAGCTGCAGAACCATCGGAGAAGGTGCACTGAGCGGGGGCACAACCCTGAAAGTTAGGGACCGGCACAGTACCGCTCGCCTGGGCGATAGAGCGGTGGCGGGTCTCAATAACAGTCAGGGTTTCTACAAAGTCTGTGAGGGTGAGGTCACCGGGGTGAATGCTAAGGAAGCGGTCAGCGGCGAGGCGGTCAGGGAGGCGGGTGGCAAGCAGGTAGAGGGTAGAGGTAAGGGGCGGCTGGTGGGCTCTACGCTGTGCGTCAGTGCAGGCAGCGCGCTAGGTCTCATCTATCGTGCGCAGGTGGGCAGCCAGGTCAGCGACAGTGGGGAAAGACGCAAGGTCAGGAAAGAGCATCGGTAGGATCAGGTGACCCACCGAGGCAGCAGGCGGGGTGGAATAGTGCCGGCTAACAGCGTCTAAGAAAGCCTGGGCAGTGGTGATAGACCTAAAGCGAGGACGCTCAGACGGGGGGAGGGCATTGCTAATGGCAAGCTGGGCGACAGCGTCACGGGAAAGCCAGACAGAGCGAGCGAGGGCAGCGGCCGCAGTAGATTCGCGCTCAGCAGGTCTGGGGTCAGCGGGCAGCACAGCAGGGGGGTCTGGGCAGGGAAGCGTACCGTCAAGATGTGCCGAGAGCGGGTGGCCATCCTGCCGCTGACTAGTGAGGTGGCGGCGGAGGTCAGCTAGCCAGGCCTCAAACTCCTGAGGCTGGCCTCCAGCGTCGAAGCGAAGCTCCGCCGCCATCAGGAACAGTGCAGGGCAGTAGAGTGCAGTGCAGGGCGGTATAGTGCAGTGCAGGGCGGTACAGTGCGGTGCAGCGCAGTACAGTGCGGTACAGTGCGGTGCACTGCGATGCCGTGTGGTGCAGGGGGTGCAGTGCAGTGCAAGGTGATGGAGAACCGTACCATGGAGGGTGCAGTGCAGTAGCAGGCACGAAGAGTGGGCCGCATGCAGATCAGCGGCAGTCCGGCGGGAAGGTGAGCACGGGGCCGGAGATCGACGGGCAGGGCGCGCGCAGGGGTCGGCAGAACGGGCGCGGGGGCCAGTAGCGGCGGGCGCAGGGCCGGCGAGGACGGGCGCAGGGGCCAGGTAGGACGGGCGCGGGGCCGACTAGGACGGGCCTAGGACGGGCGCGGGGCCGGCTAGGAGGGGCCTGGGACGGGCGCGGGGCCGGCTAGGACGGCGCGCGGGGGCCTGTAGGACGGGCGTGGGGGCCAGCTAGGATGAGCGCGGGGGCCTGTAGGACGGGCACGGGGCCGGCTAGGACGGGCGCGGGGGCCTGTAGGACGGGCGCGGGGGCCAGCTAGGACGAGCGCGGGGGCCGGCTAGGACGGGCGCAGGAGCCGGCAGGACGGGCGCAGGGGCCGCTAGGACGGGCGTGGGGCCGGCTAGGACGGGCGCGGGGGCCGGTAGGACGGGCGCGGGGGCCGCTAGGACGGGCGCGGGGCCGGGAAGGACGGGCGCGGGGGCTGGTAGGACGGGCGCGGGGGCCACAAGGACGGGCGCGGGGGCCGGTAGGACGGGAGCGGGGGCCACTAGGACGGGCGCGGGGCCGACTAGGACGGGCGCGGGGCCAGCTAGGATGGGCGCGGCGGCCGTTAGGACGGGCGCGGGGGCCGTGAGGACGGGCTCGGGGCCAGCTAGGACGGGCGCGGGGGGGGCGCTAGGACCGGCGCGGGAGCCGTTAGGACGGGCGCGGGGGCTGACTAGGACGGGCGCGAGGGCCGTGAGGACGGGCGCGGGGCCAGCTAGGACGGGCGCGGGGGGGGCCGTGAGGACGGGCGCGGGGGCCAGCTAGGACGGGCGCGGCGGGCGCAGCTAGGACGGGCGCGCGGGCGCGGCTAGGACGGGCGTGGGGGAGGCTAGGGCCTAGGGCGGAAGCATGGGCGGGCGGCGGGACCTACCTACTGCTGATACCATCTTAAAACTGAGTAATGAATAAGTAGAGAACATGGGTACAAGCATTCATATCTAAGGGTTGTACTCTCTAAGAGGTGGCCCTATACAGTCTATACAAACACTAGATATACTAATGTTTGACACTACCAGCCAAAATCCATATTTGTGAATGTAAGAAAAATGGAAATTCCCAAAAGCAACCAACGATAGGAACATTGCCATGCCATGCCAGAGCCCAAAACCAAGGTGCCCTAGCTTAGGACCCCCCCCTCCCCTGTCAACAAATATAATTTTAGTGTAGCTAGGTTATATGTATATATAGCCTAATAGGGTAGTTCTTCGAGGGCACATCACTACTCTTGTTATGAGTTTCACCAGAGTAGCGCGGAATCTAATATGGTACAATGAAAGGACAAAGCAAGGTATAGGTTTCAGAGTAGCGAATTGACTAGAATGAGAGATACAAGGTGCTTTTTCTTAAATTATATCTTTGGTATATAATTGGTAGGCTTGGTAGGTGTTATTGAAAACTACTGTAGAGGGTACTGTTAAATTATCTATTTTGTTATATAATTGGTAGGCTTGGTATGTGATATTGCAACCAGCTGTAGAGGGTATAACCCCCCTCCTAGTATGCCTCTCTCTTCTATTCTCCCCCCTCGTTTTCTCTCGTTAACATTCCTAGCCTAAACCCTCACGGCATTCCATGGCCGCCTACCCTTCCTAGCTACCTAGCCTTAGTGACATGGTAACAGAGCAGGTTGCCCTTCCCGGGCCTGCTCCCTACGCTTCCGCCGCGCACTCCTCCTCTTCCTCTCGCGCTGTCATGGCGGCCCCATCGTGCTGCTGTGGCAGCGTCGTCGAGCCGCTGGCCGCAACGTGCCGCGACCCTCTCGACGCGCTGCCATGGCGTCGCACAGACGCTGACTGAAACCTCTAGCCACGAAGCGCGCCTTGAACACAGGCGGCTCTCCAGGAGGGCGCTTCACCTTGAAGAGCAAGCGCCCATCGACTACGTTCACCCCAGGTGGGGAACTGCGTCGACGTAGGTGCCGGTGGATCTCCAAGATGCCATCTCCTGCTCCATGGCAGCTATCCACTGAGAGGCCCAGGGTCCCGAGACCGCCTCAGCGTAAGTGCGAGGAGTCGGGATGTCGAAAGCGTCGGGGTCACCCTCAGGGACTAGAAGCATAGAGCAGAGATGGGGAGCAGCCTCGGACAGGAAAGCAAGCTCGTACAAGCGGGCCTCCAGGACGTCATTGCCGAGGGCAGGAGCACCCTCGACAGACGGAGGACAGGCATGGTCAGAGACCAGAGCGGTAGCGTAGTCAAGGCGGCGGGTAGAGGCGAAGTCAGCGACCGCAGCGACAAGGGCGTCAAGACTCGAAACTGGAACAGACGGGTCAGTAACGAGGGAGGCAAGGACCCGAGGAACAAGAGGACGAGCAGCACGCAGGTAGTCAGACAGAGGGGGGGAGCACCAACAAGGGAGGACGGAGGGGGCGACGGGAGAAGGGGAGGACGAGACGCGTGAGAACGGAGCAACATAGGGTGAGAGCGCGAGACAGGGGAGACAGGTCGAGCACGGGAGGGGCAGCGAGACCAGACATGAGACGGAGGAGTCAGGTCAGGAGACAGAGGAGGGGAACGAGGGGGGAAACGGGTCGGAGACGAGTCCGGAGGAGGGAACACAGGGCCGTAGACAGGAGGAGGAGGAGGAGGAGGAGGATGAGGAGGAGGAGGAGGAGGAGGAGGAGGAGGAGGAGGAGGAGGAGGAGGAGGAGGAGGAGGAGGAGGAGGAGGAGGAGGAGGAGGAGGAGGCACGGGCACGGGATCAGGGGACGGAAGGCCGAACAGACGAAGAGCGGACACCGGCGGGGACTGCTGCAGCGGCGGTGTGACACTGACAGCGGGACCGCAAGCGGCTTGGCGGCTACCTCCTGAACACTCCACGCCAGCACCCCTAGAAGGAACACCCCCAGAAGGTACCACCCTAAGGCCCGCCGGGACAAGCCACGATAGGAGTCCCAGGACTAGTACCCACCCCAACTCCAGCACCCCCAGAGGCAACGAACGGCTGCGGCGGCGGCGGCTGGAACAACGGCGGCTGCGACAGCGGGAGCGACGGCGGCTGCGGAGGTGGCGGAGGAGGAGACACCGGAGAAGGGGCAGGCGGCGAGGACTGCGCCGCAGGACCACCAGAGTCAGCAGACTCCTCAACCGGGATAACCGACATAAGGGGGGTGACGTGGGACACACCAGAGGGGGCAGGACGGGGAGGGGGAGGAGGAGGGGCGGCGACGACCGGGAAAGGGGGGACCAGGAACAGGGGGGGGTAACCGGGGGACCGCGGTGGGGGAAGCGGCGGAAGAAGGAGACGGGCTCGTCAAAGGTGACGTCGCGGGAATGAAACAACCGGTGAGACTGCGGGTGGTAGAAGTGCCAGTCAGACGCGTCAAGGGGGAAGCCAAGGAAGACATTGGGAAGGGTGCGGGCAGTGAGCTTGTCTGTGCCAGAGGCACGAACGTGAGCAAGGCAGCCCCAGACGTGGAACGCAGACGCGTCACCAGGTGACCCAGACCAAAGAAGAGTCGGCAAAACTTGAGGCTGCTGGGGGTGCGGCCACAGGTTAAGCTGGTGAGCGGCGAAGCGAATGGCGAACGGCCATAGAAAATGGGGTGCACCGGTATGGATCATGGAGGTGCGAGCCACCTCCATGACCAAACCGATGCGTTGCTTAGTGACCCCATTATGCTGCGGGGAGTCCAGCAAGGTGAACGTCTGGGTGATGCCCTCCGCACGACAGAAACGACCAAGGACACCAGAGGCAAACTCGCCACCACGGTCAGAGTGGAGGCGCAAGACAGGGTGTAGCGCGTGTAGTCGTCGACAAGCACTAGGAAGTATCGCTCTCGACGCAACCCATGGACATGGGCGGGGCCCCAGACGTCCATGTGCAGAGTCTGTAGCGGTGCTGCGGTAGGGGGAAACGAGGAGGAGTGAGTGGCACGGCGGAGCCGACCCTCGATGCAGGGCGTGCAAGGTGGGGCTGGGGAGGAGGGAAACTCAGGGAACAATCCGAGGAGGCCTAGGACGAGACCGTGTTGTGACATGTGACGCAGACGCGGGAGTGCAGGTTGACCTAGGCGGTGGTGCCAGAGAAGGGTCGAGTGGGTGAGAGACCGACAGGAGCAGGCAGCAGCAACTTGAGGAGACGCAGCCACCTGAGGGGGGGTCCCAGCCGGGGGGGTCACCGTGTCCAGTGTGAAAAGACCGGACACCGGGTCCCGGGGGAACGTGGACAGGGGGGCACGAGTGGCGGCCTCTGTACAGACAGCGTACCGCTCGTGTCCAGGGAACGTAGTGGTGACGCCAAGGTGCTGAAGGCAGCCGACACCAACTAGGTTCCTGGAGAACGAGGGGATGTGCAGACCTGTGAGCGAGCCCGAAGGAACCGCCGGGCAGGGGAGGGTGGTGGAACTGCGGGCAACTACAGGGGCGAAGGAGGGGTCAGCAAGAGAGACTGCGGCAGGGACAGGGAGCGGTGTCAACGTAGTAGAGTCACGGAAGAAGCACCGGGAAGCGCCAGAGTCGAGGGTGAAGGAGAGCGCGGCAGTGGCGGTCGGAGGAGAAGCAGCGACGGAAGCACCAAGGCTAAAGAAAGCAGGGGATCCTACGCCTGACGCAGCAGGGGAGTCTAAGCAAGGCACGCCTACACTAGGGAACAAGGGGTAATAAGACGGAAGCACACTAGAGTCATCAGCATACATCACATGCAGAGCAATAACAATGTCATCCATAGCCAGATCAAAAATCTGAACCCTACGACGAAGCAAGCTGTGCCAGTCTGGGAGCTCGGGCGACGGGCCGAAACGCTGACGAAACAGGTCGTCCAGGCGACGGAAACAGCGGTCCGAGGTGTGGCCAATCTTACCGCAAACGAAGCCACGGCGAGGACCGGTCTGGAGCAGGTACTGACAGTGCGCGGGACCCGAACCACCACCCGGCAGCCCACCACGCGCACCACCACCACGTCCAGCGCTACAACCAGCGCCAGGCCACCCGGGCGGGAGACCACTCGCCCGTCTCGGCTGCTGCTGCGACTGCTACTGCTGCTGTGGCTGCGGCGGCTGCTGCGGCGGCTGCTTCGGCTAACGCGGGTCCGGCGGCAACACCGGTGGCTGCTGAGACGGCTGCTCGGCTGCACCTGTTAGGGTCCCCTCGTCCACACCACCACCAGGGGACCCAGCTCCCGCACCACCTACACCTGCACCCCCACCCCCACCGTCAAGCCCCGCCTTGGAGTGGCGACCCTTCCTCGGACGGACCTGTGCTGCAGCAACAGTCTCAGCCACAGCAGCAAAGCCGTCGGAGAAGGTGCACTGAGTGGGGGCGCAACCGTGAAAGATAGGGACCGGCACAGTACCGCTAGTCTGGGCAATAGAGCGGTGGCAGGTCTCTATAACGGACGGGGTGTCAACAAAGTCTGTGAGGGTGAGGTCTCCGGGGTGGACGCTAAGGAAGCGGTTGCGGGCAGTGGCAAGGCGGTCAGGAAGGCGGGTGGCCAGCATGTTGAGAGCAGAGCAGAGGGGCGGCTGGTGAGTGCGAAGCTGTGTGTCAGTGCAGGCAGCGCGCCAGGTCTCGTCTATAGTGCGCAGGTGGGCGGCCAGGTCAGCGTCAGTGGGGAACGACGCAAGGTCAGGGAAGAGCATGGGGAGGATCAGGCGACCTACCGAGGCAGCAGGCGGGGTGGAATAACGCTAGACAACAGCATCTAGGAAAGCCTGGGCAGTAGTGATAGACCTGAAGCGAGGTCGCTCGGACAGGGGGAGGGCATTACTAATAGCAAGCTGTGCGACAGCGTCACGGGACAGCCAGACAGAGCGAGCAAGGGCAGTGGCCGCAGCGGACTCACGCTCAGCGGACGAGGGGTCAGGAGACAGTGCAGCGGGGGGGTCAGGGCAGGGGAGGGTACCGTCAAGATGGACAGACAGAGAGTGGCCATCCTGCCGCTGACCAGTAAGGTGGTGACGAAGGTCAGCAAGCCACGCATCAAACTCAACAGCATCAAAATAAAGCTCCATCGCAAAAAGCCAGCCCATCATGGTGGTGTTTTTTTCCACGGGGGTGAAAGGGGGCGGCATTGGCGGCTTTATCTTGGCCACTGGTACAGTTGGTCTGGCTGCGGCAGCTGTAGTGACTGTTGCGATTGCTTCGGAGCGGGCGGCGGCCATTGTCGCAGCTGCCGTGGCACGTGCGGTAGCATTAGTTGCTGCTTCAGCTTCATCATCATGGCGCTCTTGCGACACTTCGCGTGCGATTTCGTCCAATACTGTTTCGACACGCCAATGTTGGCGGCGTCCTTATGGGCGGGCGACTTCTGGCACGTAGTCTCTTGCGCCTGGCGAAGTTCGGTTCGGCGCAAAGCTTCTCATTATCGCCTAGCACAGCTGTCAAGCGAGCCTCTGTGGCGGCGAATTTCGTCAACAGCTCGTCGAACTGTGCCTTGTCCATGTGGCGGACACTACTCAGGGTGGGCAGGGGGATATCCGTGATTACCTGTGCTCAGGTAGGAGCACAAACGCTATCGTAGTCGGGCGAATTAATTCGTCTAATTCGTGGCCGACCGCTTGGCAGCTCAGAGAGCGAATCACCCCCCCCCCCCCTCCCCCCCCCCCCCCCCCCGAAAAAGTTGTCCGCCTACGGAAACGGGTAGGTCAGGAAAGTAGCTATGAATACCAGATGTTATGAGTGTTTCACCACAGTAGCGCATGATCGAATGTCGAGGTTCAGAGTAACAGAATGTGGTACAATGAAATTACGAAGCAAGATACAGGAGCAATCCTAGCCGTGTGACCGAACAGGTTTGAAGAAGGCATCTGAGGACGCGGAGCGCTTTGGAGTGACGCAGAAATGGTTCGGTGCCATGTTCGAGCCGAAGCTAGGGCAGGTGTCAGTGCCGTGTGGGGTTGAGGTACGCGTTAGCGGTGTGGCGCGCTAAAGAATGGAAAATTCCTTACAACTCTTGTACCCCTCGATACTTTTCCTTAGTCAATTGATTCTCTCGATAGCCTAACATGGTACGGAGCTAGATAGTTTCCGCATCTCACGCTTCCGCTAGTGTACCAATTTTTTTCTCCGCACCTCCTGCTCTAAAATTTTGCGCTTTGTAGCCTCCCCCCCCTCCTCCCCTCCCTTGCGCTCACTCATTTTTCGTATGCCCCCTAGCCGCCATGTCCCTCCTTGCCAGCCTTCTATTTCGTCCTTAGCCTACGATTTCGCCCCGGCTGGTCGCTACCAGCCCCTGTTCGCTTCTCATGTGTCTCGCTAGTCCAGCAACCGCCAGCAGTGCTCGCCAGCTAGTAGCCAGCAGAGCTCGCCAGCTAGTAGCCAGCAGAGCTCGCCAGCTAGCCGTCAGCAGAGCTCGCCAGCTCGCCGCCAGCAAAGCTCGCCAACTCGCCACCAGCAAAGCCCGCCAGTGCGCCGTTCACAGAGCTCGCCAGCTAGCCGCCAGCACAGCTTGCCAGCTCGCCGCCAGCAGGGCTCGCGTGCTTACAGCCGGCAGAGCTTGCCAAGTCGTCGCCATACGAATCCGCCAGCTCGCCGCCGCTTGCGCTGCCGCAGCCGCTGCCGCCACTGCTGCTGCGGAGGCTCCGGCTACCGCCACTTGCGCTGCCGCCGCTGCCACTGCCGCAGCCGCTGCCGCCACTGCCGCTGCTGCCACTGCACTGCTGCCACTTGAGCTGCCGCCGCTGCCACTGTTGCAGCCGCTGCCACCACTGCCGCTGCTACGGCTGCCACTGCCGCCGCTTGCGGCTGCTGCTGTTGCCACTTGCACTGCCGCCGCTGCCACTGCAGCAGCCGCTGCCACCACTGCCGCTGCTGTGGCTTCCACTACCACCGCTTGCGCTGCCGCCGCTGCCAC